GCAAATGTACATCACACCGCAGAACAGAGAAGCGTACCCCAAGCCAGAGGTACACCGTGTCAGTGTCCTCAATCTCCGCCTCGGCGTAGAGAGTATCGTTCAACTCAAACGTCGTCCGTAGGGGCTTCTTCTCGTCTTCGGCCGAGTCATCGAGATCGTCATCGAGGTCGTCTCCGTCTGCATCTGGCGCCTTCTCTTTGCCTTCCTGCGCGGCCGACGCGCGTTAGCAGGTGCAGTTCGGCCGTGTGAGCAGACGACTCACTCACTCGCCTCTCCTGCAGGAACTCAACCATGGACAGCGTCTTCTTGATATCGGGCACCTTGTCTTCGAGGCCTTTCCGCCGCTGCGCGAGGTTCTGCTCCATGTAGCGGTATTTTCTGCGGAGAGGACAACAAACGAGTTAGATGGGAGATCGCTGGAGCAGAATGGTTCACACACGCCAGAGCACCTTGTATCTCCCTCAGCGCGGTCTCCACATCCTTATTGAGTCCAAGATAATCCTCGACATCTGCCTGTGGAAGTGCACCTTTCAGCCGTGCCACTCACGCATTCTGCGGGCGATCTTACTTACGATGAAGGGCGCTTGGGGGATACCGCGCGGGTTTTTGACTTGCATCTGGGATTTGTTTCCCTCTGCGGTAGACATATTGTCGGTATTGCGTGGAATGGGATTAAGAACAGGCTGGTTTTTGGACTGTAGTGTTCACGTACAAGTGTGGTCGATGCTTGAGCTTGCCGTCGTTCGTTAGGCGCCCAGATGTGGGCGCTCGGTGGTTGCCGACAGATATTTGAGCTTTTTCTCGCTTCCTTCTGGCCCTCATTCCTTCCCTTCACCTTCACCTCCACTTCCGCTTACCCACATTCTCGCATAGCACACAGAAATTTATGCCGACTTGAAGACATGTCTCGTCTCATAGTGAAGAATCTACCCGTCTATCTTACGCAGGACCGGCTCCGCAAACACTTCGAAGGGTCGGATGGTCCTGGAGGTGCCCTCACTGACGTGAAGCTTGTCTTCAACGCGGATGGCACGTCACGCCGCTTCGGATTCATCGGGTACAAGACACCGGCAGAGGCTGAACGTGCGAGGAACTGGTTCAATAGGACATATGTTGACTCGTCGCGCATCGCTGTCGATATTGTCGATGTGAGCAATGCTTTCTCTGTTGCGGTCTCGATTGACTTATGCCAGCCTGTAGGGAGCGCGAGATGCCCCTCCGCCTCGCCCAAACAAACGGCCCCGCCTCGGTCCGTCGCCCGCAGAGGTTGCTGCAGAGGCGTCCTTCTCAAAGGCGGACAAGCCCGGTGCTAAGCCAAAAGACGAGAAAGCAACGAAGCGCAAAACTGGCAAGGACTCCCAAATGGAGGAGTACTTGCAGGTCATGAAGCCCCGCACGAAGAAGGGTCCGTCATGGGCCGATCATGATATACTACCACAGCCTAGCAGTTCGCACACGTCTGTTGCAGCGAGAAAATTAGACGACGCGAACGGGGGTAGTGTAAAGCAGAAAAGGAAGCAAAAGCATGATGCCGATGCGGCGGACGGGATAGAGGATACAACAGAACCAGACGCCGCCGATGCGGTGTCGGATATGGATTGGTTTAAGCAGCGAACAAAGGCTGTTCTCAATGGGCCTGAGGTGGCGACTGAGCGGGCGTTTGAGCAATCGGAGGACGAGGTCGAAGAAGAGGGGACTGACGATGACGGCGAGGTATGAAACTCACCTTGTCAACAATGTATCTCATAGCTAACTGGATGTAGTCGCAGGCAGAGCCATCACCTGACCCTTTGAAGGCGGCGATACTCCAGACTTCGCGATTGTTCTTGCGAAACCTCGCCTTTTCCTGTACGGAAGATGAGCTGCGTGAGCTATGTGAACCATACGGGACTGTGTCTCAGGTGAGCATTCATTCCGTTCCATCCACTGGCCTCGCATAGCGGGCCAGCTCTACGGATGACAATATAGTTAGGGACAACAGACTCGCTCGCGAGCATGTTGATTTAACTGGGAACTTGATAGTATAAATATCTGACCTATATCTTTTCCGACTCACGCGTTCCTCGGCATGTGCTGATTCCATCTGTCATCAGGTTCATATTCCTCTCGACGCTACAACGAAGCAGCCAAAGGGCCTCGCATATGTTACATTTGCCGAGCCGGCCAAGGCACTCGCTGCATATGAGGTGTTGGATAAAACGTCATTCCAGGGGCGTCTGCTACACATCCTCCCTGCGGTGGATCGGAAGGGTAAGGCGGAGGTCGGAGATGGTGGGGGGAAGAAGTCTGTGAAGGAGGATCGAGAGGCGAAGCGGAAGGCGGGGGCAGGACGAGAGTTTAATTGGGCGATGTTGTACATGAATGTACGTACTACACAATATATTTGGTTGTTGTCGCTCAGAGCTCATTGTCGACAACCTGCAGGCGGATGCGGTCGCTTCGTCTATCGCGGACCGGATGAACATCCCAAAGTCCGAAATTCTCAACTCAGAGCTGGACAACGCAGCGGTTAAGCTCGCGCTCGCGGAGACGCACATCATAAACGAGACCAAGTCGTTCCTCGAACAGCACGGCGTCGTCCTCGAGTCGTTCGCCACGAAACGGCCGCAACGCTCTGATACGGTCCTCCTAGTGAAGAACATCCCGTATGGCACGTCCGCAGACACATTGCGCACTATGTTCGGATCTCACGGAGAATTGAGGCGTGTCCTAGTCCCGCCGGCTGGGACACTAGCGGTGGTGGAATACGAGCACGCCGCCGACGCAAAGACCGCTTTCCGCGCTCTTGCGTACCGCAGGCTCGGGGACTCCATCATGTACCTTGAGAAGGCGCCGCTCGGTGTGTTCGTCGAGAGCACGGACCCGCAGGTTGCCGCAGCAGAGCCGGTTGTCGCGGCCGGCGTCAAGCCCATCGCCGCGCCAGTTAGTGTCGATGCCGTCGTAGACGCTTCGGACGCAGAGGCAGGCGAGCCTCCTCTCTCTGCTGGGACCACACTATTTGTCAAGAACCTCGCGTTCAGCACAACCGCCGAAGGTCTCGTCGCTGCGTTGCGCCATCTGCCTGGATTTGCCTTCGCGCGCGTGCAAACGAAAATCGACCCGGCGCGTCCGGGGGTGCGGCTCAGCATGGGCTACGGGTTTGTCGGGTTCAAGACGAAGGACGAGGCGAAGCGCGGGCTGAAGTCGCTCGAGGGCTTCGTGCTCGACGGGCACGTGCTGACGGTGAAGTGGGCGGGACGCGGCGCAGACGAGGCGGAGGGCGCGGAGGCGAAGGGCAAGCCGAAGAGCGCGAAGATGATCGTGAAGAACGTGCCGTTCGAGGCGACGAAGAAGGATATACAGCAGCTCTTCGGCGCACACGCGCAGCTCAAGTCCGTCCGCCTCCCGCGCAAGTTCGACAAGCGCACGCGCGGCTTTGCGTTCCTCGAGTTCGTCTCACCGCATGAGGCTGCCCGTGCGTACGCGGCGCTCCGCCATACCCACTTGCTCGGGCGTCATCTTGTCTTGGAGTGGGCTGAAGACGGTGCGGCGGATATTGAGGAGCTGCGGAAGAAGGCTGGCGTTGGATACGGCGCTGGTAAGGAGATGCCTGGACGGAAGCGGAAGGTACGGATGGAAGACAAGGATGGTGAGGATGTCGATGATGTTTGAGGTTGACGCTACAGATCCTGTTTGCCATCCCAATTAACATTTCCCATCAACACGGATGCGCAACGCTGCAGAGTCCTCGTAATGGAGATGCGACATCTAGAGTTAAGTAGGAGTTCGGGGCTGCGCCCCTTGTTCTATGCCCAACTTGAGAGTGACCGGTGAGTTGATTGTAATAAGGGCATCTCTCTCAACTGGTGGTCTAGCAGTGCATAGGATTCCTTATTGACATCGTGGACCGAAGAAAAAATGGGCATCGTGATTAGTGGGTCAACTCTCCGCGTATACGTCCTGATGAACGGCTGCGCTCCATAGCACAGTATAGTCCTTGTGCCACACTGAACGATCGCCCCCGCCGCTTTCGATCGCCATCAGTGACGCGTCGCCGCCGTCGCGCCCGTTTCCAGCCCCGATCGTCCCTCGTTCGCGTCCGCTGACGTTACCTCATCGCGCGCACGCCGCCCCATCTCCCGCACTTATATATATAAGCCCACTGTGCGTGTCCTCACTTACTCCTCTCCCTCCTCGCTTTGCCCTCGTCTCCTCCCTTCTTCGCTGTGCACTCGTCTCCGCTCCCCGTTCTGCTAGCCCGAAATAGCGGGTATGCCTGAAGTACCGTCGCCCTCGTGGTTGTGCGGGCTCGTCGTAGCATCCTGCACCGTCACGAGCATGTTGCCCGTTGCCACTTCGAGGCGTGCCACCACCCACGCGCATAGGACAGCTTCCCGTGCGCCCCGCCGCCCTCATCGTGCCTTCTAGTATCCTCACGGGCGCGTGGACATTGCGCCATCGCTTTGCTGCCGACACTGCCGACTCGCAGTTAGGCGTCAATGGATGCTCCCGATGTGCGATCCGGTGCGTGCTGGCTCAGTCACGGCACTCGTCGCCGTCGAGAGGCCCCATGTTCCCGTGCGATTGCCCTGGCGTAAATGTGTGCCACCTCCAGTCATCTGAGAACAGCAGTCTTACACTACATCGTGCTACTGTTTCATAAAATTAGTTATCGGATGGATGATAACAACTTGCTTATAACCTGCGTACATTCATGCATGGCCCGAGCCACACGTTCGCGCTCTGCATCCCATCACCTGACCGCGTCCTATGACAGGCGTTGTTGTTGGATCCAAAATCCTACATCGCCGAGTATTGACCCCTCCTCGGGGTATACATTCCCCGATCTGCCAGCGGGCGTACATACTGGAGGCGGCTTTGCCTACTGCCGGTAAGTTGCGTGCTACTGTACAACGCCCCACCGACAAAAATAATAGCCCATATGCTTACGTATGTGCTTCCTTGTGAACCTTATGTAGGCAAATCAGATTGAATAAAATCCCTCCAGATTGTCCATCAGTGGCCTGGTGGTCTAGTAGTATGATTCCTTCTTAGGGATGTCGGCTTAGTCATGCATGGAGGAGGCCCCGGGTTCAATTCCCGGCCAGGCCCTGTTTTTTATTTTTTCACCCACATGACATCTGAGGACTCTCGAGAAGAACCCGTCGATACCCATAGGCCATGTACACTATCCTATCGTATTTCCACTGTGCCGAGTCTGTTTTAAAATGAGACTGACCCCAATCTTACTGCAATCGACAACTTTAGGTATGGTACGACTGACGCAAAATCCGGCATAGTAACTTACTAGTAGCCATCACGGTCATCGCAAAGTTCCCGGGAATCTAGCGAGCACTTGTGACGCTGATAAGATAACAGCCATACAACGATCGAGCATAAGCGCCTAATCAGCGCCTTGCAAGACCTTGCAATCGGTCGCGCCGTTCTTACGAGCTGCTCATAAGGGCTTACAAGCACAAGTGAGACTTGTGAGCTCCGGATCAGCACCAGAAAATTGGCCTGGTCTGTGCGCGAACTTAGTCAGCAGGCGGGCGCCTTTGGTCGACAGCTCGGTCGACACGCAACCGTTGCTTGCGCGGTCTCGCTTTCTCCAGGCTTTGTCTCCCCCGCCGTCTTCGACACTCCCCGGCTTCAAGCTAGCCTCCACGGCGGTGTTCCTGGTCACTCTGATCAAATGGTGCCCCATCGACAGCTTCAGGTGCGCCCTGAACTTGCAGAATCACGGTACACTGTGCTCACCCTGTCTCGCAAGTCGTCGCCTCTCCGAACACAGCCCACTTTTGTGTTGATTCAGTGTGGCCGTCTATGCTTGTGTAGTCACCTCCTGCGTGTTGGAGCCTCGAGTGTTCACGTGAGCCCGACGATGTCGTCTGACTCACTTCTACATCTCCTGAGGCACCAACACTGCATCCACGGGTTGTCTATCATATAGCCCTCGAGCTCGCGCAGCGTCCACCGCGGAGCTTACGTTTTTGCCTGGGCAATCACCGTGTTTGTGACTTGCTTTCCATCCCAACATGTCCTTTGCGCCGGTGGTCCCGCATGTTCTGCGAGACGAGACAGACATTACGTCCTTCGCCCCAGACCAGTCCACCTAGCCTCACGTTGAGACTAACCACCCACAAGCCCCTGGTTGTCTCCATTCACAAAACATCTGTTGGCTGGGTGTCACCGTGTGTGAGTACTATGCTGGTACTTGGAGCAGTGTGGCGTAAGAGCAACGATGAGTGTTTCTCATCGACGTGCTTGTGCTATGAGGCTCTCAGTGCTTGCAACCTATGTCTCCATACTTGTCTGCATATGCAGTCACCCCCGCCCGACGTGTCATCAGTACCCGCGCAAATACTAGGGTAAATGGGCTGCATGGCTAGATGAGTGTGTGCCTTGGCGTGACCTTGATGTAATCTAGCAAGTACGTGCTCGCCGACCTTGCTCACGGCCTCAATGCTCTCCTCCTAACTCAAGTTCCCCTGGATATGGTGGCCGTGGCGTTCAAAGGTGAGTGGATAACATTGATATGCTAAGATGTGTAGCTTGGGTAGATCGACTCGCGCAAGCAGATAGGCGGACCCGTCATACAACGTACTCAAGCAAAACGAGTTCTAGATACCCGGAGCGCGGTTTGCAGTTGTTCGCCGCTGCCTCGACTGCCCTGCTGATGGGAACCCGTTGGCGTACGGCTGTGCACGTTTTCTCGCGGTAGGCACTATGCCGGACGTCTTTGTCTACATATGGCAGTCCGTCGCCGTACACCCGTGCGCATGTGCAGCTAGCCGTCTGCAGGTAAGTGAACGACGTGACCATGTCAATGTGGGCTCTACCTGTATTCGTACTACATTACTCGTTATGTGTTGGTCTCATGGCACTATTTGTTTGTATACTCCTGAAATGTCTTCAATGAAATGCAGATCACTTATCATGCCTGTGTGTGATGGTCATTGAATGTTGAGCAACAGTGGATACGGAAATTGTGTGTTCCCCTCAGTCGTTATAAGATATATGATGATCATTATAATCTTCACCAATGCCCATAATTAGTGACTGTATTACAGTAGATGCCATGGACCCTATTAATGGTACTAATCACCAAGCGATTGCCAGTGCCGCATAATCGCTGAGCGGATACGAGATGCACTTGCAGCCCTTGCGAACAAATTATACCACTTACAAGTGCTTGTAAGTGTCTGATAATATTTCCGGAAAGTTTGCGATGGTGAACCTGTAGTTTCACTGCACTAATTCCGCCGGGCCAAAAATCCGTTGAGGAAGTGCGACTACGCACTTAGTATACACAGACTGTATCTGACACAGAACAAAGGGATTTCTGCATAGAAAACACGCCAACGACCGCGATGGTGCTCCCGCGTACGACATATAGTGGCGGGCCTCCGTAAATCTTCGGACAGTGATGGGACTGAACACGGTGGCGTGGCTGAATTTTGACGGGCCCCTGGCCTCTGTCCTCCGAGAACGCCCTACTAGTATATCAGAGCGGTTGAACGACGATAATTAGTTTCGTGGAAGAGTCAACTCACACGCATGGAGGGGCAGCGCTTCTTGCTCAGGTGCCGCTTGAGGCTATCTTCTCTAGAGAAGGACTTGCCGCATCTGCGGCATTGGACCTCGTACACTCGTAGATGAACTGTGGCGATGTGCTTCGCCAAACCGCCGAACACATCGCACAGCTCTACGTTGCATACCTTATTCCAACCGTCCTGCCACGGACAGAAAACCGTGTTGTTCGGGCTCTTGGGGACTTGTGAGAGCGCAGCGTGATGCTGTCTGATGTGTTCTCGCACAGCGCAAGCTGCTCTCTGCGAGATTTCCTCGCGGATGATGGGCCAGCCTGGGCACGGTCCACCCAAGAAGCAGGGGACGCGTGAACTTGAAGCGTCCTCTGTGACTGTATGTGAGGCTTCGATGTATGGCCACTTGCTGATAGACGGCAGTATGTGGGTCGGGTCAGAGACCCATCAAGCTCGAATGAAGATGTCTCACCCCGAAGTATATTCACTGCCGTGGGCATGGCCATGACTGCTCGAGAATAACGGCCTGTCCATTGTGATTACGAGATCCTGCACAAGTGTGTAAGGGTTTAATTCTGGGTGATGAAAGGCCTCCTCCCTATTGATCATGTTACCAGAGCTCATTGTAAAGGCAGGTTGGTCATACCGAGTTGTTTCTTGGAAGCTACCGCCTGGAGCATACAGGCGATTATCAACGAACGAGGCGGGGGGTTGCGGAATATTTTCCGGCATGAAGGATCCGGGCATTTCTGCGGCCCTACCGAGGCCATCAGGGGCCGTCACTCCGTCGCCAGGAAAAACAGAGAGCTCACGGCTCGTGGGCTTCGGGAACTAGGATCTCGTTGCAGGCGCAGCTTTCAAGGGCGCTGACACCCCAGCCTGCGTACGTGTTTTGCAGTGTATCTGTAAAGGAAGACAGGTCATGACGATTGATAATGTTGCTTGGGCTACGTTGTAGTTTGCCTACCACAGTTGGCACGGATGTGTGACATATTGAGGCCTGTAGCTACTGGTTGGGATACCGACGAGGTAGGACGGATAAGTCGTAGCCTCCATAGTAGTCGAATTTATAGTACATATGAGGAGACCCAAGCATTCTTCAGAGCCCGAGTCCGCGTCCAGTGTCGCTCGGGATCTATGACTATCCTCGATGCCCTTCGCCCCGATTGGGGGTGGACCTTCAAGCGTAGTACATTGCCACATTTAGGACTGCACTGTGACGGACCAAGAGTGATCATCCTTCTCGCGAAGAAGCTAACAGTGAGACCCTGGTGGACGAGTAAGTCCGAGAACGTACCAATGGTAGTGCGCCATGGGCCGCCCTCATGCTCTCGCAAATAATGATACTAGCGGCGGCCGTGAGGCGTAGTTAGCCACTTTCGGTACACTTCCTGTCATGACCTGCAAAGTTTACGTACCAGGGACCCGTAAGATTAATCCTCGCTAAGACTGCGGTGGACGGTGTATCTTCAATGCCAAGCATAGGAGACTTCCACGTCGGATCCGCTTACTTGAAACGCCACACCAGCTTCGGGTGGCCGTACTGTCAAAGGGCTGGGACGGAACCAGCGAGACCTAGTATATCGGACTCCTTGCCTCATGTACGCGAGTGCCCCGAGCGTCATATCACAGTGACCGTGCTTCTACGAACACATGTCCTACTAGCGCTGGTAGGGACAGGCTGGGTGTATTGTGAAAAGAACGGTAAGCGGCGTACTACGTGTAGGAATGGCAACAACTTGAATGTAGTATGCAGTTCGACGTATCAACGAGCACACCCGCAATCATGTCCAACACGCCCGGGACGTGAAAAAGAGCGTTGGCTAAGCAGGGAAGTATCAGACATTTCCACTATCAATGCTTTGGAGTACGTGAGCGGTAGAAGGCAGCGGATAGAGTGCGCTGTGGATCGTCACCGGAAGCCTGAGTACTCGGTCGCTCCGTTAAGCTCCGCTTGTGACCAGTGGCTGGAATCACCGACTTATGGAGCACTGATGACAACTTGAGTATGGAGAAAGGCACATCGTTCGCCATACCCGAAAACACAGCACGAGAGAAACGAGACACAACAGCATACTGATCGACGTGACTAAGATGCGAGTATGATATATAGCGCATGGACAGCAAGGAGAAACATAGCAACGCTACAATTGAGGAAGCAGAGACTAGCAGAGATCGCAATGGTGCAGATGCACGGACAGGTATTTCCTCGTTACGGTCGTAAAGCGTCGTGGGTATGGGAGGCATGTCACTCCGAAGAGTGCCCTCTTGCCTTTCGTTTCGTCGGCTTCCTGGCCTGCTGCTTGATTCGCGCCTGAAGGGCGGTCAATACGACACGCGCTACTAGCGACGGGCCCACGGAACATACCTTCGCACGCGTCCGAGCCCCTCTGCTTCGCTTGTCTTCCTTTCCGTCGGATTCGTGGCCGTCGACTTCAGCTTCTGTATCAGCAGGCGCACTCGCATGCTCCTCGTCCTCATCCTCGTCTTCGTCGTCCGATGGTGAGGAGGATGACGACTCGTCTTCATCACTGTCATCGGCTTTCCGGCGTTTTGCGTTCGTCC